ACTACTGGTTTCAGGAATTTTAATTTTTTCATTTTTGGGTATTCATCCACATAGACTAGTGCCGTTGGTGTCATTTGACCACGAAGTTGAAACAGACTTTCTTTCGATCGTAAGAGGCGTCAGGAATGCTATCAAAGTCAGTTACAAAGCGTTGGCAACTTCTGATTATTTTGGTATTTTACCGTTGATTAATAGTTCAATCGAGTCGAATCCAATAACGAGATCATTGCGGAGCCAACTCTCTGAATATTACGATGACCAAGTGAAGACTTCAATAACGAGTGATGACTTTGCTACGTTACAGAATTCTATAGCAAGTTTGGAATTGCATTTGTCTAAAACAATTTGTTTGAATTATCCAGTGCCATTGTTTGCTTGGATTCTTTTGATTCCCGACGATCTTCATGAATTGATAAGGGCAAAGCACTTCTTTGCGTTGAGGGTGCTTTATGTTTTTGCTTGTTTATGTTGCGTAACAAAATTTCAACTTTATGACAGTAAAAATATTTGGAATGATTATATTTTCTGGTTCAAAGAATATAACTTCAAATGTTTTAATGGATGCTGGAATTCTGAGTTCGATGAAAAACTATATCAAATTATTTTTGAACGAAAATTCAGGATTCCAAACAACTCATTCCATTTATTAAGCAAGTTTGATCCCAATTCATTTTTCAAGTAAGAGCATAAGTATCTTACAGTCGGGCATCGCATACCAAGAGAGGTGAATGTTTGTATTCTTTATGTGTTCATTTGTGGTTTAATAAAGCTTTCCAAGAACGTAGAGAATAAAAAGGTTTAGGACATCTTCTCAGATTTTTCAAAATGTGCTCAAGACAGTACACCAATCTTATATGGTCAAAAGTATAAGGTTTAATAGTAACGCATAATGTAAGAAGAATTATATGGTATATATTTATTAAGGGAATGAAAGGATTATATGGATTGTACATAATGTAATATCTGACCGATACAACCGACAGATCTCCGAGATTTAATATGACAACGTAGGTTTTATACCATAAGACAAAGAAACTGATAGAGTATTATGTCGCATAAAAAGATTATAGCTGATTTTCTATTGTTCGACTTAGATGGTACTCTTGTGAATTCAACACCTGCTGTAGAAAAGACATGGATTGAACAAAGCAATAATCATAATTCAACAAATGAAGTACTTATTGATGCTGAGATTTTATTAAATTCAGCACATGGAACAAGAACGTCTGAAACAATCAAAAGATGGTTTCCTTATTTACCAAATGATGAAGAGTCCATCAATCTATTTGAAAAGGCTATTGTTACAAATTATGGGCATTTAGCTAAGGAGGTTAAGGGTGCAACACATTTAATTGATGGTATAAATAAGTTTGGCAGTGATCAGTGGGCTATAATAACTTCGGGTACTAAAGATCTAGCGTATGGATGGTTTGAAAAATTATTTGTAAATTCTGGCAAGCCAAAGGTTTTTATTACTGCAAATGATGTTTCGCAAGGTAAACCGAATCCTGAAGGCTACTTGGAGGCATTTAGTCAATTAAAAGAGAAAAACAAACTAGCTGGTCATGACTTTTCTGCTGTTGTTTTCGAAGACGCCCCGGTGGGTATTCAAGCGGGTATTGCTGCAGGGTTTCATGTTATTGGGATTGCTACTACTTTTGATAAGAATACTCTAATAGAAGCAGGATCATCATTCGTGGTTGAAGATTTATCAAAAATACACATTACGAAAACTACTTCAACATCATTCCAATTAGATTTGGATATATCATAAAATTTATTATTAATTATTTATAAACTTATAATAATTATATATATATATTATTCATCATTTGATTTCCAAATCCTCAATTGTTTCAGCTAATTTATTAACTCTGGCTTTTCTGATTTGTTCTGTCCTCTTCTTATCGTCGGTTGCAAATTTATCATTCACAGAAGTATTAAAGCTGTCATCATAGTCTTCATCCCCATAGACATCATTTCCACCATATTTTAATTGGTAATCACTTGGTGGTTCTTTCAAAATGTCTCTAATGGTGTCATTGCTTACAAGCTGATTATGGACCCCAAAACTGAAGCACCATTTCAAATGAATCAACCGCAAGTAAAGAAACCAACTATTGATAGCGAGTGATCTCGTTTTCGACAATTTAATATAATTCGAGTCCATTAATGAATTAATTATATCTATGCCTTCGGGTGACTTCTTTAAAATTTCAATTCTCTTCTCATAGGAAGTATAGTTTGCTATGGTATATAATATATCTCTGAAAATTGAATGGGTTTCTTTCTTGTTCTTTTTGCTAATTTTATGGGTAGAAAAATTAGCCAATCTCTCGATAATAGCACAAAGCTCTTCCTGCTCATAGTAAGGTGAATTGGCATTATATTCGGTTTCTTCATCAGCGTCGCCACTATTGTCGTAGGTAAAAATCTCATAGCACAATGCTATGACTCTTCCAACAGCTTTAGCGATTTCAATGTTCTCATTATCGACTAATGCAACTAACTTTGGCATGGTATCTGTAATATAGTCATTTAAGTATTCACCTCTTTCTATTAACGTTAAAAGACACCCGGCACCATGTAAAGCCGCGATTGCAACTTCCGCTTCACCACTTGCTTGATTTACAGAATCACTAATAATTTTCTTATCAACATCTTCTGCAAAAAATGTCGAGTATTCTCTATCACCAGATCTAAGCTGAGCTGTTAATGTATTCGAGCTAGCATTGTAGCCTTCAGCTAACTCTATCAAGGAGGTTACTTTATCATCAATACCATAACTCGAAGACCCATTATGCAAAATCATCATTAACCCTGTATACCCAGTTATCACACTGGCCTTATTTTCACTATTTACGTTCAGCGTTGTAGGATCTTGAATTAATCTTTGTACAAGATTTAAGAACTCTTGGGATATTAACTCCCCGAATTCGTCAATATCACTGGCCAATAATCCAATACAAGATCTAAATAACAACAAAAATTCACTTGGAGATCTGTAATCCCCACTCATCAATAACTTAATCAACTCCAAAACCTTGTCTTCAGAAACATAGTTCTTAGTGCCTGCATTCTCTTCGTTATAAACAACCAAAGGCTTTGAAACAATGAGCTTGTACAATTGCGCCAAAAGCATTTCTCTAGATTGTGACGATACTTCAGTTCTAGACATCGACAACGAATGAATAATGTCATTTATCGTTGTCAGTCCTGATTGAATTCTAGCTTGGTTCAAATGACTAATAGATTTCTGTTTGTAGTCCTGGGAATCAGTATTACCGGTGATAGTACTTTCATCTTGCATACCCTGTTTCTCTAAAAGACTTTGCAATGACTCTAATTTCATAGTCAATAATTCTTCTATGCTTTGAAAATTCACATCTAATGACCCATTTTCTTCGCCATCTACTTTAGGTGTTCTAACTCTTGAAGCTGATCTTGACGAGGAATTGGATTTAACATCCTCTTGGAGGAATCTTTTATGTCCTGACGGTCTCATTGGCATTTTTATTAAATAATTATAGAGGAAGTAAAAACAGGACTTTCATGGACCTATTTAAGTCTTTTAATCATTTCATTGTATGACGAGTCACGTGGAAATTGCAGCTTTTCTGAATTAGTAGCAATCTTGTTAGGTGCATTGTGCATAGCAGTGCAACAGCCAATGGCCGTAGGAATAAAGTAAAAGTACCAAGCGGAAGAAGGTGCATGCATTCTTGGTTATCATACATAAAAAAGAGTCTTGGAATGGCTCTGCTACTACGAATTATTCGAATTAAGGTCTACAGCTCATTAGTAAGACGTTTCACAACCAAAGGTAGTCACTAAGTATGTATTATTCTCAGCTTTTATATAGTATATGAAGGAATGCAGAATTTGGAGTGCAGTGTAACATTAGTGATAGACAAATATCAAGAATCACAGGGTTTGTTCTAAAATGCTACCTCGTGCGGGAAGACGTTTACCTCGCGGCCGTTAGCCCTCACAGTTTCGTTCTTAACATCCTTAGGCAACAGCTTTCTCATATCAAAGGCATCGATTAGGTCGTTTGTAGCGTTTTTATCAGTCGGTGGATCTTGTCCATAATAGCCAACCACCCTTCGGTAAACACTGTAATCTAGCTTTTCATATAGATGTTGAGCCAAAACGTTAGTTACCTTGACAAACAAGTCTATGAATAATGTTTCATATGGTTCATCCTTTACCAAGTTTTCCAAATGCAAACATAAATCCGATGCTAATCCTATTCTTCTGTATTGAGCATTGACTGTAACTGCAGTTATATGGGTATGCCATTCTTTCTTCGACAATTTTCCTTCGTTTTTGCCCATCATATATCCACTGATTTCGTGGTCTTGATTAAAGTCATTGCTTACTTCAACTGATTTGAAAAATAGCGAAGGCCATTCGATTAGGTACTGAAAATAAAATTGCAAATTGAAATTTTCAGTTAATGGGTCGAGATTAACTGGGTTTATTTCAAATAAATCTTCAATTTGAAATGGTTTTATAGAAGTCATTGGATGTCTTGTTACATAAGTTGCTAGTATATACTTGAGTCTTGAAGAGAGTTAAGAATCACTTTTCCGGGTAACCTCAGTTGAATTTGTCCAAAATTTTTTGTATATTTGCCGTTAAGGTAATACTGAATAGTGCTTTTAGTGAATATAATCTTATTATTAGATACATAAGAATCAATAAATATGTTCGGAGGTCCAGGTAGTCAACCAAGTGAAGAACAAAAGAAGTTACAAGAAAAGTATGCCGTTGATACTTTAAAAACTGCCGGTTTTATTGCGGGAGCTTTATGGGTTGCACCAATTATCTTCCATTACATCAAGAGACAACTCTAAATATAATGTTCGATTCTACATACTTAATGATGATAGCATTTAAATCAGATTTGCTTCGTTTTGTACATATATCAACTGTATAAGAATTTCAATATTATACTATATTAAAATCTAATTATTGTAGAAGAAAACGAGTTTTCATTAGTCCTCATTGTCGTCTTCACCTTCACTCAAATTGACTAGGTCTTCTCTTAATTTGCTTATCTTGCTTGCTAGATTCAAAAATTCCAATCTTTCGGAAATTTTAGACGCGGCCATTAAGGCTTTGTCGTTCTTGATTAATTTTGCAATACTTAATGCCTTGTTTAATCTTGACTCTTGACATGCAGACGCAAATAATTTCAATAATGACTTATCGAATATCATACTGTAATTCTGTAATCTTTCTAAAATTTCGTCGTTGAATTCTTCATTTTCTCCATCATTCAATGAATCGCTAACTATTCTTCCCATAGTAGATGCACGTAAGAACGTTTCTTGAGCATCATCTTCATTGTTTGATGCATCTGTGCCGCCATTAATTTCGTTCTCCTTAGACCTACCATTAGTTACTGGTAGTTTTATATCTAACTCGATTGGTAATGGTAATGGAAATCCCGGGTATTGGTTGTCAGTTTTCAATATCAAACAATTTAATTGATCTTTATATAAACCTAATGGCCAACATTTCCAATTCTTCTTAGATTCACTGGTTCCATTTTCGGTAATAACCTCTTTACAATTAAGAATAGGAATCCACTTGGCATTATTAGTTTCACGCCATGTCGATAAAATGAGCACCGTGTCGTCTATACCTGGAACCAAACAAGGATCATTATATTCGTTAAAAAAAATCCCCTTTATAAGTGGAAGTTTTGGATGCTTTGTACACTTTTTAAGTGGTAATAAAACATCTTGTTGGATAAATTTGTAATCTTGATTGACATCAATTATAGAATATGTGTATACGTTAGGTGAGATTTGATTAACCATGAATATAATTGAGCTGGATGAAGCCATTAATGTTACTACTGGAGGCGTTTTTATCAAGTTGATGCAAAGGCCATGCAAATTAAAAAACCTAACATAGCCAAAATTGGTACCAATTATAATTAAGGCATCACTATAGTCATTCTCAATTCTTGAATTATTGGTTAAACTAACTGAAGTAACGAATTCATCTTTCAATAAAGGAATATTTCTTTCCCATGAATCCTGAACTGTATCATGGAATCTATAGAATACTTTCCCACCTAACTTACCAGTTTTATCTTTATACCCAGAACATGCCAATAAAACACCTCTTTCATTCATCGAACATAAATCATACTGATAATAATCTATGAAATGATAGTCTTTGTTTATGGATCTATCGAAAAACGAAATAGTTATACTTTGCTGATTTAAGTTCTCTGGATTTGACGCAGTTTTAACTGACCAAATGTAACCAATAGAGTTCATTGCTAAGTATCTTCTATCTGTGTCTGATAATGATTTGTTTTGGCTCTGACTCCAAGGCGTAGATCCCGGTGAATACGGTTGCAACTCTAATTCCTTATTTTCAGAGGCACGATCAGATATATATGGTGAAGGAGATTTATATTTACTCCCATTCAATTTGAAACGCTTATTGGAACGTCTTTCATCTAAATATGAATCAACATCTTTATTATAGTAATCTGGCATTTCATTATTATCGTCTTCGTCTTCATCATCTTGATCAATCACCAAAGAGTCTTCTTCGTGCAATATGCCATTTGGTTTGGCAAGTGCTTGTTCATCATCAGAATCGTTGAACAAGTCATCTGTATTATTGGCATCTGATTCTTCCGCTTCATCCAAAAACAAGTTTCCAGAAATAGCTTCAGAATCTTTACCTACCAAATCACTGTATGTAACAATGCATCCATTAGTAGTACCAATGCACAAATTATAATTAGATGATCTTGGAATTTCACTCCAAATCAAGTTCGTTGGGTAGTGCCCATCTTGAAGTTCGAGCTTGACATCCTTAAGTAGCTTCTTGGAATTAAAATCAAATACCTTTAATGTTAAGTCCGTGTAACAAACTGCAAGGTGTTTATTATTTGGACTAAGTTCAAAATCAACTATGCGAACATCCGAATGATCTAACTTAAATTCTGTAACAAAATCAGTCCAGCTTGATCTATCATAAACCTTAATCGAATTGGAAGAAGTGGGTATTAACAAGGACTCGCCATTTGATGACCATTGAGTCTTAGTAGATATCAATTCATCATTGTTCTCTCCAATGTAGTCGATTGTATCCAATGAGCTATTAATCTTAACTGGAAGTATGCTGGTTATAGTTTCGGTTAAATTTGGAACTTCGTTGATGACTGAATAAATTTGAATATTCCCATTCGATAAACTTAATGACAATATTTCTCCGGTCACATTATACGCCATATTTAGCAACTGATCTGGTATAGGCAACGTAGAAACCGATTTGTCATTTAGCATATCTATCAAGACCAATTTATTATCATCTCCACCGCATAGAAGTCTCTTTCCTTCGTTGATAAAAACTGAATCTCTTAAAGGCAATTCTGATCTGTAAATCGTACCTTTTGATTCATTTTCGTTCAAGTTAATAAGTTCAAGATTACCTGCTGTATTAGTTACTAACAACGAGTTTGAATGGAATGATAAAGACGTCAAGTTTTCGTTTATGTCAATTGATACTGGTTCTAAATCGGGTTCATTAATGTTGAAAATTTTAATTAAGCCTTCACTATTTCCAATCACTAACTTTTCAATAGCTGGATGATATCTAACAAATGAATTTCCATTAGGAAATGCTGTTATTTTATCTTCGATCATTATCCATACACAATGAAAGTTTGTTCAAAAATAGCTTATTGGTTATACTGATTCTGTTAATGATAATATTGACGCGTTTTTCAAAAAGACCGCGAGTGTGGTTTTTGCTTGCAAAAAGACCTAGCTCCAAGACTATTAATCCACTCAAATATACTAACACCAGAAAACCTTTCGGTATTATTATCAATAAGCTGTTTGTTCTCTCAATAAGAGGTTAAGGATAATGCAAGTTATGATGAAAAGTAGTCGCATAATTGGGTGCAAATTTCACCAAATTGTATCCTTGAACTCTATGCTTCTATCCTAGCTTTCATATTTGCTTATAAAAGCAAAACGGTATTGAATCTTTAAAATATAGATGTACAGCTTTTATGTGTATTAGCTAAATGAGGATATATGTAAATTTTTCATTCCCAGATCCCAGGCCAGATAAAAGTTCTTGCTATATCTTGAGCAATTGTAGATTTAAAATATATAATAGAGGCTGTTCATTGATGCAACTGCAAATCAGACAGGATATTTGATTAGGTATAGTTATCGTAGAGTTCATGGTGGTGGTGCTTGCGGGAGTGATAGGAGGTAGTAATTCTAATTCTCGTGTTTACCATCCCTCGGTCTTGTAAGTAAGGATGAAATCCAGTCTACAGTATTTGATACCGCATCTAGAAAGACGTATAACTGTAATTGACGTTAGGTATATATTCTTGGTTGTGAGCTATATTCAACTTTCTGGTTGATAAGCAAACTCGGATAAATAAACATCACGAGATATGTAATCAATTTTTCAAGCCAAGTACTTACTACTTCTTTCAAACAATTGTACGATTTACAGGGATGATGCTGGTTAGATATACAAGGATAGCAATTATTGGGGGTGGTCCTGCTGGACTTGCGGCTGCTAAATCGTTTGGATTACTGCCTACTAATTTTGAAGTTGATTTGTTCGAACGAAATGACAAATTAGGAGGAGTGTGGTTGTATACTGGAAACAAGCCAAACGGATTGCAAGATATCAAAGATATTAATAATCCATTAGTTGGTAGAAATGAATTCTTCTCACCAATGTATAAGTATTTGGAGACAAATATTACCGGAAAGCTAATGCAATATGCCAATAGTGCTTTTCCACCTGATACTTTTGTATATCCTACTCGACAAGAAGTTTTCGAATATTTACAAGAATATTCCATTACGATCCCAGAAAGTACAAAAATTCACTTGAATTCTAACGTTCTCTCATTGACCAAAAATAACACGATATGGGAAGTACAAGTAGAAAATTTGAAAGATAAAACGACCTCGATAAAAGAATACGATGCCATTGTTCTTGCCAATGGGCATTTCGAAGTACCATTTATTCCAAGAGTTAACGGCCTAAACTCGTGGCATATAAAACTGCCTCTGTCGATAACCCATGCAAAGTATTTTACTGATCCGAATGAATTTGCCAACAAGAATGTTCTTGTTGTTGGAAGTTCATCTAGTGGTGCGGACATTGCAATACAATTGAGTGTCAGGTGCAATAAGGTGTATGTTTCCAATAGATCTAATTCTCTTGGGCCTGAATTTAAAAACCTTCATGCTAAGGTTATTGGACTTATAACGAAATATGATTTTGACAATAATAGATCGGTAACCACTGCCGAAGGTGAAACTGTAAGTGATATTGATGCCGTAATTTTTTGTACTGGTTACAGATATGACTTCCCATTCTTAAAGAGCTATATGGATGACGGTTCTATTATAGACGCTGAAGGAACTGTGGTTCATAATCTTTACAAGCAAATGTTTTATATTCCAGATCCGTCCTTGGCGTTCTTCGTTTTACCAAAACTGATTGTTCCTATGCCACTAGCTGAATCTCAGGCAGCTGTTTTGTCCAGAGTCTTCAGCGGCAAGATGAAGCTACCAGATAAAGAAACTATGACCTCTGAATATTTAAAGGAGCTCGAAATGAAAGGTAAGGAATTCCACAACCTAAAATTTCCTGCTGATGCAGACTATTGTAAATCATTACAAGAATGGATTGACCTGAACAATCTTTCCGATTATGGTTTACATGCGCCTACTTGGGATAAGGAAAAATATGAAGATAGGAGTAGGTCAGGTTCAATGAAATCAGATAGAATATCCGAAGTCATTGAACATGCCAATACTTTAAGAGATAAAGGCGAAAGTTTCAGATTGTTACGGTGACTGGTGCAATTTAGACTTACAAATATATTAGAATTAATTTGATACATTAATACTGGAAAGTAAATTATAGTAAATAGTTCGAATACTTTCATTCATAGATATCTACACTACGTCATCCATACTTATACATACTACACAAAAACGTGGTCATATAATCTCTCGCGTATATTCTAATAGCACAACGGTCTATTAACGAGTAACTTCTGAATTTACCAGTGATAAAAAGATAATGCCAAGTTGGTAGGTCAATATTTTGAGCGATTTTTTTGGACTGCGAGAACTTTGCTGCAATTCAATTCGCAGCCCAACCCTAGCATGAGGGAATTTGAAAATGGATTGTTTAAATTTGGAACTTTCACTCCCTAGCCTTTCAATACTAAGGGCTGTGTGTCATTGTATTATCTGAACGAATGGGAATTTATCGTGGTAAATACGCCAATAAGATACAAGAGCGCTAATACCAATCAAAATTTTCGTTTCAAGCTGCAAGCTATCGTACGTCAATACTGTAATTATCTGCTATTCCGGTACTGTAAATAATAAGAGTTTGAAAGTAAAATTAATGGCTTATTCTTGAAATTAATGACTTCAGTTTATTGAATATTGGACTAAATATGCTATCAGACGACTATTAAAACTACCCCTATCAAATACTACTTCTATATTGAGGGATTTGTCATTTGATGTCCTCGTATTTGTAGGCGTTGTAGTAGAAATACATGTAGGTATAGGTGAGTAAGCGGTGTATAAATACTGTAACTGATATACTCCTTTTTAGAAATATTTCAATTAACCAACACAAATGAGTAATAATAGAAATTTAGAGATTCAGCGTGGTTCTGTTGAAGCAGATTTCATCTCAATCAACTCTCGTTCATCCAACAATGGATACATAAATCAGAACTTAGCTGATGAGGAATCTCAAACTCTTGAATCCAATGACTCAAAGACAAGGCCACGATCGTGGAGAAACATTCTTTTTTTAAGTTTCACTTCATTAGGTGGAATTTATGGAGATCTTGGAACTTCGCCCTTGTATGTTTTAAATTCCATTGAGTATGCAAATTCACCACCAAACCAAAGCGATATCTACGGTGCAATATCATTGGTTTTCTATGTTTTCACATTTATTGTTATCTTGAAATACGTGTTAATAGTATTATTTGTCGGTCCTAACAACGGTGAGGGTGGCCAGGTTGCTATTTATGCAAAGCTTGCCAGAGCATTGAAAATCGGTCCGAAGGGACTAACTATTTCAGGAACAACAGAAACTTCTGATTTAGAGCTATTGTCTAGACAAGAGACATCAAGCAGTTTTATTTTGGACTCAAATAATCTTCTTGGATCTTCATCAAATGTTAAGAATAATCCAAAGTTACTTAAGTTTATTGCAAAGTTAGTCCTATGCTGTTGTTTTATAGGTTGTTCATTAGTTATATCTGATGGATTGTTAACACCTACAACATCAGTTCTAAGCGCAATTGCTGGAATTCAAATAGCAAAACCTTCTTTTGATAGTGTCCTTGTTGTTTCTGAAGTGGTTTTGGTGTTCTTATTTCTCATACAACAATTTGGTTCTTACAAGATATCGTTTTTTTTTGCACCCATTATTTTTCTTTGGTTAATAAGCTTATTCATCTGCGGGATATTTAACATTGTCCATTACCACCCCAAAATCTACCGAGCATTATCTCCATATGACGCAATCGCTTTGTTGCGAAAGGTTGGCATTGATGCAATCGGAGGAGCTATGTTGTGTATAACAGGGACTGAGGCTATGTTCGCTGATATAGGACACTTCGGAAGAATTCCAATTCAACTTGCCCTAACATTCTTCGTTTATCCAATTTTGGTTACTTCGTATCTTGGACAAGGTGCTTATCTTATTGAACACCCAGAAGCTGTAAGGGATCCGTTTTTTTTGTCTATTCCTGGTGGAAACAATAATAGTATCTTTTGGATCATCTTTATTCTAGCAACATTAAGCACAATAATTGCCAGTCAAGCTCTAATTCTAGGTGTTTTCAGTATAATTTCTCAGTTAACTAATTTGGACTATTTTCCAACGTTTAAAATATTACATGTCTCCAAAAAGTATCATGGTAAAGTTTATATTCCAAGTATTAATTGGATATTGATGATAGGGGTTTGCTGTACCACTGCAGGATTTAAAACTAGCAGTAATATTACATCTGCTTATGGCTTGGGAATTGCTCTTGATTTAATTGTTACAAGTACCTTGATTTCAATTTGTATGATTTATGTATATAATTGGAATATCGTCATTCCAATTTGTTTTATATTGTTATTCGTACCCTTAGAGGCTGTTTTGGTTATTTCAAATCTAAAGAAAATAATGCATGGTGCTTGGTTCCCGATAATGATGGCTAGTATTTTCTTTATATTCTTTTCATTCTGGAGATGGGCTAGATCAAAGGCAATCGAACAAAAATTCAATTCAAGAATAAGAATTGATAACTTATATCCTTCATTTAAGAAAGTCCCGGGAAACAAAAATTTTGATTTAATCCATAAAAATAGTGATAATAGTTGGATAGGCCTAGGTGGAGAAGTAATAGAATATGGCATTGAACTTCCAAAGATACTTAATTTAAGCAATAATGCATTGAAAGTTAATTCAAAATTCGGTTCCACCATCTTGCAACGACACCAAGGGGTCGGAATAATGTATTGTGAATCATCTATTCATATTCTTCAATCTCCAAATACAGTACCTCAGATATATGGCAAATTGGTTTCATCTTTTGCATCCATTCCGTCTGTTTTTATTTTCTGTTCGGTTAGGATTTTGCCAATCCCAAACGTGCCTGATAGTGAAAGGGTTTTAATTGGATCAATGAAAATTCCAGGGCATTACCGATGTATTGTAAGATTTGGTTTCATGGAGGAGATTTTAATCAATTCAGATCTCAATAATGCAATATTATCCACAATTCCTGATGCCCAAGCTTTAATGAAGAACAATGAAACAAATTCAAAGGGAGAGAAACCAGATGATCTTCCAATATTACATATATTTGAAAACAATTCAACCCGATCACATATGTATTCGGAGGAGCAATTCAAAACGAAAAACCCAATCCTTCTAGCAGCCAGATATATTAGAAGAGTTTTGATAAATCAAATCTACAGTCCTCTTAGTTCCATCACAGAATACAATGATAAATTAGTCTGTATTGAGAACGAAGATAATGAAATAGAAAAGAAACTACTTATTGGGGAAGTTGTTCGGATATAATTACATATTAATCGATTGTAATAATAAATTAGATCATTTATTTGGTTGACATAAAAAGCTAAGCATCAGATAACTTAGGCCCATTCTGGCTTACTGTTATAATCATTATTACTTCTATTACCACCTCTACCTCTGCCTCTACCGCCTCTCCAGTTACCTCTACCACCTCTCCAGTTACCTCTGCCTCTGCCTCTGCCTCTACCCCTATTGTTGACCGAAGATTCACCAAAAGTATCTAAATTAAGATTCTTTTCTTCCGCCCACCTCATAGTATTCTTTTCATCTGCAGAAGATGAAATGTTGTCAAAGAATGATGACTGTTTATTGTACATTGGTTGTTCCGCGTCTTTTTCCGAATCTATGTCTCTTGAAAACTTTGCGTTTGCAGATTCAAAGTCAAATGCAGTTTCTGGCACATTAGATACTTTCGAAACGTTCTTTTGTAAGCCAGATTGCGGGTGTTCTTGCGGTCTTGGTTGGGCTGGCGATGCATTTTCCTCTTTTCTTGTTTCCTCTGTACGACCAGAAGTTGGAGTAGCTTGCGGCTGGGGTTGATGTTGCGTTTGCGATGGAGTTGGAGCCTGTGGTTGAGTCTGGGTCTCAGAAGGTTTCTGGGCTCTTTGTTTAGGTGCTGATGTTTGAGTTGGAGCTGACGCAGCTTGTGCCGGAGCCGCTGAAGTAGTGCTAGGAGCCGGTGCTTTTTGCTGATGTTGTTGTGTTTGTGTTTGCGGTTGTTGCTGGTATGCTGGGTAACCACCTGGTGCCGGAGCTTGTGTATAAGGCTCTGGCTTCACCTGATCAATAGGAGTATCCAAAACGGTTAAATCCTTAACATCGGACCCTCTGAAAACAACATAATCGTACACATCGGTTCCTGGATGTACTTCAAGATTTGCATTACCACTAGCAGCCATTCTACCTTCAGTACCAAATGATCTAACCGATTTTAACGCAACAGTAGCATCGTCTGCATTAATGTTATCTAACAACCCAACATAACGAAGTCCTTTGTTAGAAATCAAAGAAATAGTCTTTCCAATATACTGAGACATATTGTATCACGTCTCAATTATATATAATAGTGAATACTACTAACACTGAAGGTATCGTTATGATTAAATTCCAATTGTCGTGGTTTTTTCCAGCATTCTTTTTGAGTTTTGCACGACTTTGGTTCCGTATCAAATAGTTGCAAATTATCCACTATATAGATCATACATTCGTATATTATTAAGATATGTGGTATATATGGGTAATATGATGCTATGTAACTTGTTTATATTTAAAAATATTACAATTCATGAAATCCAACTTGTAGTGATTTTTCACCATTTATCTCACAATTATCGAAATTTGCAATAATTAGGAGTAGTCAGTATTATAAACGATAAAAGTCTAAAAGTCTGATAGAACTCGAAAGGCATAAAACAGTACAGAGATACTATCTAATGAATAATACGAACCTGGCTTAATACAAAGGGAATAGGATTCTAGATACATCAAGCAATGTAGGTATGGGTAATACGACATTTCGTAGTAGGAAGAATGTCGCACACACATCTGAGAGAATTGTCGCGATATCCAAGCTATCGAAAAGAGCAGACTCAAATTACATACACTAGTGAATAGTAACGATTTATTTACCGTATAATATATAGCAATATGTCAGACAAAGAGGGAGAAACCGCTTTGTATAATGACAGGGAGGAAGAGGCCAGACAATTTTTTAGTGATTCCGCCGAGCCACAAGCACAGGGAGAATCAAACGAGTCGGCGGTGAATTACAACGAAGACAACAACAATGACGAGGGCGAAGACGATGGAGATGAAAACATTTATTCTATACAAGCACACAAGATAACAGGAGACGAGGAAAATAATAGGGAAGTGACCAAGAAGAAGAACGTTAGAAAGGCCAAAAAATACGATGAATTTAAAAATGAAAGAGATGAACAGGGATTCGTTCCAATGAGAGAAAGTCTGGAATATGGAGGCATGGATTATAGCAATGAAGACCCACAGGCAAGAAAGAGAAGGCTTTTGGAAGAAAAGATGGAATCTGCGATCAAGAGTAAGACGTCAAGACGCCGTAGGGCCGATGAGGACGATTTAGAGAGAATGCAAGATGACAGAATTGATTTTTTGAAAGACCAAATGATCAAGGCCGCCAACTTGGACGTGGAAAAGAATTCCCAGGGACAGATTGCCACTGAAAAATTGAAATTGTTGAAGGAAGTGGTGGATATTTTGTCCAAGGCTGACTTAGCTATTTCCATCTTGGATAACAACTTATTGGAAGCAGTTAGATTATGGTTAGAGCCGTTACCGGATGCATCAATGCCTGCGTATCAAATTCAAAAAGAATTAATTCACTCGTTGACTGTTTTGCCTATTAAGACAGACCATTTGATTGCATCAGGCATAGGAAAGGTTTTGGTATACTATCAGAGATCAAAGAGAACAGAAGCCAACTTAAAGAAAGTGGTAGACAGATTAATTGGGGATTGGACTAGACCTATTTTAAACAAATCAGACTCATACAAGGATCGTACCATCCAATTCAACGAATACAATAAGAACAGATTCACCAACCAGTTATCATCAGCACGTCGTAATAAACCAAAGGAAGCTAAGTCGTTATACGAAGAAAGTGCTGAAAGAAGAAAGAGAGCAGCAATTCCAGCTGCTAGAACCACTGCTTATAAAATTGCACCAAAAGTCGATCCAAGCTTGTTAAGAAGACATCAATTAAACTCCAATGGTAACAATGATGAACGATTCAAGAGAATCAACCAGAAATTAACTCTGATGAACTTCAAAAAGAAGTCATCTAAAAAATCAGGGCCTTCTATTGAAGGAAGGAACTTGGCCATTTAATTACATTTACATAACTCAATTCAATTTAGTTCAGTGCCATATTCATAAATGTATGACTATTTCGCTTACCTCTTTTAGCCAGTAAGTACAAACTACGCCACTCTACACCCCTGGTGTTGTAACTATCAAAGACCTACATCTTATTTATCACAAATGTATGCATTAACCTAGAGTCAGGTATTTTATCAATATACACATAAATTTAAATTATAAAACCATAGCACTGGACAATTATACAGTATTTTATATTCAAAATAAACAAGAAACCTATGAACAGCCCTCCTGTTTCGTAATAACTGCGTAGGTTAATCTATGATCTTGGCTTTTCTTTCTTTTCCTTCCATAAAGCTAATAAAGAGACACCAGAAACTTTAACAACCTTGAATCTAACACCTGGAATATCACCCTTAGCCTTACCTCTTCTACCGAAACCGGCTAATAAGACTTCGTCATTTTCATCGACGAAGTTTAAACAACCATCATTTGGAACGAAAGCAGTGACTCTCTTACCGTTTTTGATTAATTGGACTCTGACACACTTTCTGATAGCAGAGTTTGGTTGCTTGGATTCAATACCGATCTTTTCTAAGACAATACCCTTGGCGTGGGAAGAACCACCGAATGGAGAAGACTTGAAAGCTGTACCTAATAATCTAGACTTATAAGCTTGATCAGCCCATCTGTTGTTACGACGGTGAACTCTTAATTTTCTAGCAGAGTTAAGACCTCTTGGTTTACTATTACCCATGATTAATTATTCTTATTAGTGACTAAGATTCAACAAGTGTAAGAATACTTCAATTTCATATAATTTTTCACCAGAATTGTTAGGTTCCCATCCATACTATGGGACAGAATGGGAGTGAGAGTATCAACGACAGAAAAAAATTTCTCTGAGTTTCGCACGCAAAATCAATCAGGTGATGTTAGCCGTCACAAATCATATGATATAGGGTGAGAGCCCTATAAGTGTCTTAGGGAGTGCGATAGTACGGGAAATTATCCGATGGTTTGCCGGGGGTTATTTCCGAAGAGAGAAATAGCAGTGAATACTGGAACATACCGATATAACCGGATGAATTAGCTGGAAGTGATAAGTAGAGAAAATATCAACTACATATTGTATATCAATGTTGGGGCGTAATAACGTAGAATAAATATTGATTCTAAGCACAGACTACACAATTATTTGCTCTACATAATAACTTTGTGTTCCAATAAATAGCGTAATATAAAGATGCAAAACTAGCGAGAGATTAACTTTTTGGTCTTGATGAGCTTCAACAAGAACAAGAAAAATAAGTCGATTTGGTCCTTGAACATAAACAACAAACCTTGGACGAAAACACCCTTTAACAACTGTGGTGCTACGCCCTTGTATAAGCCTCTGAATTTTTCAGTTTTCCACAAGTGGGCCAACGCATGCGTGAAGGCATCGAATTTGATGTCTTCTTCATCTTCTTCCTCTTCATCGCCATACACTTCCTTGTCACCAGGAGGTGTTTGATTCTTGTGCGACTTCTTTTGTAACATGGCCTTCGATACGATCAATGGCTGCGTCACTATGGTGGCCATCGACTTGGCCAAAACCCCAATGGAGAAACTCTCCAATGGTCCCAAGAACTCCTTACTGTTATACAAGATCTGCTTCAATCTTTCGTACGATCCGTAAGTAATGGATGGATTGATACACAAAACCATCGATACCCTTAATCCTCTCCACAATCCACTGATACCGTCCTGGTCCAAGATTTCCCTGAACAATTGGTACAAGTTCTTGTGGGTCTTATCGGTCTGCTGTTGCGTGGTGATAACCCCGATTGGCATGGTGAAGAGTTGCGATATACACGCGGCTAACGCACCCAAAAACAACTCGGTGGCCGTGGTAGGCTTGTGGTTGGGTATATGCTTGTAAAGATTAGCGTAAACACGCTTGACAATCGTATACCAGTAGAAGTATGAGAAATTCTGTGCGGTGGTCCCTAATATTGATGATGCAAGCCCGTGATACCATCCTAAAACTCCCTTCTTAGCATAGATCTTGCGCAAAACATCGAGGGTATTCTTGTATTTTACTTCACCGTCCTTGGGCTTTTTTAACGTTTGACTGTCCTCTGGCGTGGCTGATTCGCTACCAGGGACTTTCTTATCATGTTTCTTCACTTGTGTTTGAATCAACGTCTTGCTGAGATCTAATGGATATACCAAACTATTAGCGAATGCTGATGCTAACGCACCACTAGCAGCTTTTTCGAGTGGAGTAAGTGACATAGTGCTTTATTTTATGCAATTTCTATAATACAGTGAAAATCTATTACAAATATATTTAATATTAGCAAGCACTCCGCAGATGGTTTATGGAATTTATATTATGTCTATAAAAACTAAAAAGGCACATTTAATGATATTTATAAAATTGGCTCGTTTTTACCGAGGTATTCTAAAACCCCCTCATAAGCATCTTATCAATGTTCATCTTTCTCCGAGGTCTAGTATCCCCACATAATACAACGATGGAAGAAGCGCGATGTCAGTTGAAATACACGTGAAGCCCAATTATACCCATTGATACACAAGCTTATCCGTTCCACAGGTTATGAGTCTATCACCAGCCATAGTAAAGGACTTTATTCTTCCATCGTGTTTTTGGTAGTTTGTAATTACCCTTTCTTGTATGAGGTCGATACCTCTGATGGTTCCATCCTCACCCACAACCCAAACACCGTTATGCTTCAGGTTCGAAGACAGCTTCCAACGGATTATCGGTTGGGAATATTTATCTTGCGGAGAGAGGGTGGATAAATTTTTCAAGATTTGATCTCGCTCTATCGGAACGGAATCCTGAGCCGTGTAATCTTTTAGTGGGACTATAATTAATCTCATATATGGTTCATGAGAAGTTGCCACAGCAATTAATGGGATCCCCAGAGAAAGCGATTGTATGGATATGCAGCGAGGAGAAAAGGTTGATAGGGTAAATTGGGCATCATTGAGTGAGATTTTGTACAGTGTCACTAGGACGTTTTCGATGAGGTGGAACACACTCAACAAGGTAGTTTCGTTGAGACCGACCACAAGAGTGATCTTATCGGCAAAGACGGTGACATCGAAACTGGTTCCTTGGGTAGGTAGTTTGTATTCGGTGACAGGGGTAAGCTTGTCTTGGACAGTGAAGACCTTTAAGGTGAAATCCCACCCTAGGGTGAACACGTAGGTGTCTTCGTTGAAGTGGATACTCTTGGTATCGACGATAAGTCTGGGATGGGCCTGTAGTTCATCAATTGATTTTATTTCGAATCTTTCTCTATAGCTGTATTCACATAAATGTAGTTTTCCGTTCATACCCAGGAGCACTAGCTTATTATCGGATACAAAAGTTATATTTTTGATAACACACTTTCCAATAAAGCCGGTCGATTCTTGAAGAATTTCGTTCGATATTAAGTTTATTACATAGAGTTTTGTGTTTGAAGTACCAAGCAATAGAACTGGGATATTTTCGGTGAATACCAAGCAAGATGAGATGACAAGATCATCAATGGAATCAGTTACTAATTTGGGGTCCTTTGGGTATGGTACTGTCCATTCATCAACCTGATTATGTAGGATATCATTCAATTCGTCATTAAGAGGTGTATTCAATTCCAAATCCTTAGGTTGAGCTTTTAGTGCTTTGTAATTATATCTGTCTTCGATTATATTCTGCAACGGTTCATTAGGTGAATCAGTGAATGGTTTCCCGTGTTCTCGTTCAAACACCTTTAATGTTTCTGGATAATTATTCTCCTTTAAGAATTGTGCAATATGTGTTTCAATATTCATTTCTACGGTATCAATCCTTTTGGCGTAGTAATAGTATCTCGATGGCTAAAATTCTGATCGATGATAAGATACATGGTGAAAAAAAAAGGTCGTACCCGGATTCGAACCGGGGTTGTTCGGATCAAAACCGAAAGTGATAACCACTACACTATACAACCTAGAAGTTGTAGGTGTAGTGAGGCGTAAATATACATATATATATATATGTATATTGATATTAATCATCTGCTTCTGGCGCAGTATGATTTCAATACACACATATGTAACATGTATTAGTATGTATTAATTTATGCTTAAGCCCACTTGACTGTCGATGCTACTGTCGATGCTAATCGTGAAGATACACAATACCAGATACTAATATATTTATCTATAGCTTATTATAAGGTACTTGAAATTTTGAACAGTATTCTGTAGTCTGGTTGTTTTCCCAATACTTCAATGGAATCCCTTCTTCGTTGCTGGTAGGTGCAATAATCTTGAACGAGTTTGAATCTATTTGGAACGCGTTGCGGGACAAATTACTTAATTTATTTAATTCAAAATCAATTTCATCCTTTAATTCGTTGTACAAATCAAATTGTTTATGTATAAAATTGTAGAAATCGCCTTGGTGGATAGAGTTCCATACCGTTAAATTACCTTCGATGAATGATTCGATGACTTTATTAATCGCAATGGATCTCTTGTCATAATAAAGCAGTGGTTGATGCGTCTTCGAACCTAAAGATTCTTTAATATCTTCACTATAGGAAGGATGGCCGATATTTTCTTCGGGTACTGCTATATCCATAATCTCAAGAAATCTTCTTCGAGGTAAACACTTATCGAGTGCAAGAAAGTGTGTTTCAAGTACCTCGTTATTTACTTTTGGCTGTCGTTGGTCGGATGTCGTTGGTCTCAGATCGAAATCGTCCATATTCAATTTGATCTCTTCGCTGTTCAGTCTATTATCAATGCCAAGTTTCGTTTCTTCATTGCTCAAATCGTCATCCATATCGACCCTTATTGCTTCATTATTTTCCGCGTCATCCATATTTAATTCTAGCTTATTGGTATCTGTATAATCATCCATCTCTAATTCAATCTTCTCATTATTTTGTTTATTATCGTTTACCTCATCGTTATTGGATTTGCTTTTCTTCGATACTGAATCAGAGACCTCATTGTTGCTTCTTTTAGGGGAATGCTTAACTAATGCTTGGAACCTAACATGGAGGTGTGATGCGAACCAATACCTAGGCTTTAGGTGATCTAGCAATACATTATTCAATGGACTGCCCAAAGTGCCATTATTGATGTCAGCTTTGAAAAAGTGTTTTTCTTTAAGCAACTTTCCCAAATTGCCCTTCTTCTCAATATGCTGGGGCCAGTCATGGCTTAATACTATATCTAATCTTTGTTGGTCCATTAAATACATCTTTAAATAATTCTTCGCTTTCACTTGATATATGGAACGAATAGTATGTGGATTGTATGGTAGCCGCTCGTCCTTATTATCACTTCTAATAGAATCATAAAAAGATCTTTGATTATAAATACCACTGATTCCGCCAATTTGTAGGCCCTTGAACCAAACACACCCAAATTCACCAAGGTAATATATGTTAGGAGCTACCCATCCACCATATTTCAATTCCTTTAAATAGGAAGAGCTCTCATGATTACCTCCGATGAATATTGTTAGCACAGGAGCGACCTTTACCCCTGAATAGTAATCATGGAAGTCTCCCAATTTCTTATATTTTTCTGGAACCGACATTGTTCTTAAATCTACCATATTTCTAATTGCTTGAAAATCACCACATATGAGCAAAAGGTCAAGCTTATCGGGTACAGCCTGATATATTTTGTCCAACTCTCCATGACAGCATCCTTCAACTGCAATTCTTAAAGTCCTGGTTGATTGCATCGTGTTTTGCACAT